TTTTTCGCGGCCGCGAGAGCGTCGACATCTGCATTTCCGACCAAGTACGTCCCACGGCATCGCCATACGTCGAAATAAGCGACAGTAAGGGTGAGAAACTGACGGTCTAGCTCGCTGGAAGGCTGAAAATCGATTTACGAGAGGGCAACCGGAAGCGTGCTTTACGATGGGCCGAGGACCGAGCACCGGTCGCGGTCCACGCGCTCCATAACTTCGCTCCACCGGGTAATTGCTTTATTAGAAACTCATTTGCACGGCTCCGCAAATAGCTGCGATGCCGAATGCCCGACGCGTCGAATTAAACCGACCGATCGAACCAAGCCTCGCTCGCGCACGTTCGATCAGTTCGTTTGCGGTTCGCTGTCGGTGCTCCACTTACCATTCTCGCCTCCAAACGGAGACTATCATCGTTACGGCACCCAATTAGGACCGACGAGACGGTCAATTGACCGATAATTTATACACATTCCTTTGCGTTTGTTTCATTCGTTGGAATAATAAAAAATATAGCCTACGAACGAATGACAAAATCCGGGTAAGCGAAAGTGGCTAACCTGATTCGTCGGCAACTTACTATCTCCGAATAGGCACACGTAACGATGGTAGTTACGGGAATTCAATGCGTTATCGTCGATTTGGGGGGGGGGGGCTGAGGGCGAGCCTGTCTATGGAGGTCGAAGGTATTAAGGGAGACATTCGGCGGAAATCGCGGGAAAATTTTCCTTCGAGAAAATCTCATCGAGGTAGCCGGTCTATGGCCGTGTAAAAACTTGGAAACTGGCCATCGGAGATACGGTAAAAAGTTCGGGTCGTCTCGCGATTGGTGCGTCTGCCAGTTTTTACGCCCCCTCGAACAATTTCGTTCCGTCCGAATCGGACCAAGAAAATTCGCGGCACGTACCGAGTCGCTCGGGAAAAACATTAAAAATCGCCTGCAGCGATATCCGTTGCACCGTTTTCTTTTTTAATCGTTGGTACTTGGCGCGATGCCAGTCTCGGCTCTCCTTAATTGAGATCTCAAATAAAAGCCACTCTGTTCGTAGTCAAAGCGTCCCGAAGTCGCGAGCATCCTCGATCTTTGCGATACTAAAAGCAACTACGGTCGTCCTCTCGTTCGCTCCTTAACCGCGAACAATCGTTCCCGTTCAACGACGTTTCGTCGCAGCTTCTGCCCGCTTATTCGCCAAACAATAGAATATCCTTTCGCGCGACTCTGTTTTCTTCGAGATAGACGGCGATTGGTCCGACCGCTTTAAGCAAGTACGATTTATTTCCGCGCAAGCGAAAGCTTGCGTTTCGTTTCGAGGCGAGGACTTCTCCCTCGGAAAGATCGCGGTACTAATTTTGTGTGGCCAGTCTAGGAAAGAATACAAAGTATTACGATTCTTAAACCGACGATAGAAGCCTTTGCGATTTCTTGCATTTCTTGCAGGGTATCGTAACTAAATATCGGGTGTATCTCGGGGTTCGATAACATTCGAAATCGTTTCAAACGCGGTTCGTTTGTCTCGCAATCAAGAAAATCGTTCGATCGTTTCCGTGACCGGTAGAAAAAAAAATTGCACAACGTGCGTAACTCGAGTTCCGGATCGCGAAGCCAACAATAACGCGAAGTCGATACATCCTGAATTCAATTGAAACTCGTTTGCGATCGGTCGACCAATTATGGGGCAGTAAGAAATCGTCCGCATCTCCAGTGTCTTTCTTGGCGGAAATCGACTTTTCGGAGCTGACCAAAAATTCCCTTCTCTAATTTTCGCGTCCCCTAGAAAGTGAATAACCGGCCCGGTTAGCTTGCAGAAATTGAGAAGACCTTCGCGGTGCACCGATTCCGCGATTGTTTAATTTTCGCCCGTCTGCATCCCCCCCGCCGCGCCCCCTCCAGCCACTTCGAGCACACGTATTCCTCACGCGACGGCTGCTAATTAACGCGATTAACAATTACGTTTCTCCTTCACGGGCTTCGCTTGATTTTCCCCCGAGCCACCTCTCAGCTTTCAAAATATCGATGCACATGACTCCACGCGTATCTCGTTACTCCATCAACGGTAATTTGTCTTATTCACAATTACTCTTCTATCCGTACATAACTCAACACACCGTGGACCCACCCGTTCGATAGCCAAAACAAGGATCTCAAATTTCCAGAATCGTATTACGCTTCGACGCGAACGAGACCGTGGAGCGAGATTGACAAATGCGTGCGCTCATTTTTAACGCGAAGCGTCCCATGTATACGCGTGCATCGTCGACGCGAATTCCAGGCGTGGTCGTTCGACGGTAACGCAAGTTAAAACGTGAGATGCAAATTACGGTGCTCGCTCGTTCGCGTTTCATTCGCTGGGATTTCGCTTGAGCTGCGAAATTGTTTACGCCCGTGACATCTTGACCGACGATCGATTCGGAATTTTTGTTTTCTACGCGAACGCCCCGAGCGAATCGAACGTTCGACGACGGGAGAGGTATTAGCGAGAGAAACAGAAGCGACAGCGGAAAAAAAGCGAAACCGTGAGCGGTGAGGAGAGTAGATTTGGCCAACGAGACAGAACAGAGCGCGCCAATTCGAACCTGCGATCCCTTCATCAAATTGCAAATCGGCCGGCGCTTAATCGCAAATTGGAAATCGCCGCGGGAGCTCGTATGACCGACGCAAAATGTTCGCCGCTCCGTGCCCGCGGCGTGCGTCCGTTTATACAGAAATACAAAATACGCGTGAGCTCGGATCCGGACGTTCGTTAGGAAAAATAGACGGTTTCCAAAGAAACGTGACAACGGTAAGATCGATAAGCGATAACATCGTTTAGCGGCGATGAAAAATCGTATAAAATACGAATTGCTTCTCCGAAACTGGAATGACTTTTTCGATAAACGTATTTTTCGGTAGTTTCGAGCGATATATTGGTTTTTACCGCATGGTTTTGTTATGCGAGTCCCTATCAGGATGGAAATCGATAGAAAAGAGCGATGTAAAATAAATCTTACGCGAGTGTATTCCAACGGTGCATAACATTGCCTATCGGCTTTCGTTAGTTTACCGTTGCGCATCACCGGTGTACTCGAATCCGAACTGGATAGATTCCAGCTGTAAACTCTAATACGCGATTAATAATCAATGAATTACCGGCGAATCATGATTAATTATCGTTGAATAATCAGACACGGTTAACATCGAAAGATTACAAATCATCGATATACGATTGCAGATCGTAAACGTAGCTCACGATTACTGATTTATCCGACAATGAGGAACGATACTTGCAAAAGTAATTGCAGAATGATTATGGTTCCACGTGCTTAATCTTCCTATCGTGAAAGTCAATGCACGCGAGTTTCTCGTGTATTTCGGTTGCGAGGCGCGAGTAGTTTTGCGCGTTATTTTGCCCGGTTGACCGGCTTTTGTTCGGAATTCACAGAACACCATCGACCAGCAGTTTCCATCCCTCTCGTTCCACGTGGGAAAACGAATTAGACGGATTTCCGATGACAAAAATTCAGCACCGCGGTCGCTTAACGTTCCCGTGGAATGTTTTCGCCTACAAATGTATCCCGTGCGTTTATCAATTTTTCGTGCGTCCAATACAGGGCGCCCCGCGTGAAGCGGTACACCTTAACCGACGATCGGAGATGGGAATGGAAATTTTTGTTCAGGCGTTGGTTCCGAATAACGAACAAAAGACGAACATCCGTTTATTCGTTGCGACTATATCGCTAAGCGTCGATTCTGTTCGTTGTCTATCGTCTTGCTTCGCCAAGAAACCTGTTTCTATTCGCGACACCCTGTACCTACACGGTCGCAACGGTATCTCGTATACAACTATACGATCCGACGAGTTTATTTACGATACCAAGTTGTTCGTGCTTTTATTTGCTAAAAAACGTATCGATTGGAACGCGGCACTGGCGGGCAATTGCGTAAGTACTGGACGTTCCTCGAAAATTCAACGAAAACATCTGACCGACCGAATGCGAGCTGCGTTTAATCGCGTTTAATGTTTTTCTTTCTTTTTTTTTTTTTTTTTTAAATTGTGTCAATCCAAACACGCATGTGTCCGAAGGTTTGCGACAGGAACCGCGACAACGAGTAATACCGCACGCATGAATTTTTACGTTCGTCCGCGAAACCGACATGTTTTTTGATAATTGTCGTCGCTAGCATATTTTCGAAAATTCGGTTTCGAGAATACGATCGCATCCGCGCTATGACGTAACGCGCGTACAAATTCTACACGAAGCGGAGAAAATTTTCGTGCGCTTGTATCGTGATTTTTTTGCAGAGCTGGAAACCAGCGAGTCGTGAAACGCAGGGGCAGACTGGATTAATTTTAGGAGAATTAAGAATGCCGTACCGGTTAATTAATCGCGATACTCGCAGAGAAGAGGGTGAACCACTCGTTCGTTTCCCGTCGAAAAATTGAAAGAGGGAGAGAGAAGCGAAAAGTTGCACGAAGTTGATATCGCTCCACGGATATGCTGCACGCACATCCTGCGCGTGGCACGCACACGGTCGCGTAAACACGCAGTCGTTTTGACGCGAATAAAATCGACGCTGCACACGCAAATCTCTTTCTGTTTCTTATCTATCGCCGAGTAAACTCCCAAAGGTCGTCTAAATTTTCGCCGGTATATTTGGAGGTACTTGCTCGATACGCGCGAAGCTGACCGCGGAGGTTCGCAGACGCTCGAAGCGAATAGTAAGTACAGCTTTCGCTCCGAGTCGTAGGCACGAAAATAAAGTTTTCGAGCGAGTGGAATCGTCTCGGCAACGAGGATTCGAGATTCGCGACGAGGCGAAGCGTGGGGATGAATAATTTAATCACGCGTTATGTGTGAACGCGCGACGGGTGTCTAAATAGAAACACGAACGACTGAAAGGCAACGTCGCGCCAATAAAGTTACAAGACTGGGACGCTACCGGCGCGGCGGACCAGTTGGCCGGAAAATAAGATCAGAATTGATGCGAATTCAGGAACGAAAACCGTCGCTTTCTGCAATTTACTCACCTTGACGCGCAGAAGGTGCTGCAGACTTTGAGCTTGGCTGCTATTTAGAGGTGGATTGTCAGTCCCGAGACGCGCCACTGCAATCACGTTTTCTCGGGTCGCGTTGTACAAGAAGAGCGTGCACACTGTCTGCAAATAAAAGAACGAGAACACGTCTCGGCGTCATCCTACGCTATCTCGCATTATTAAGTTTCGCCTGTCGTGTACGTTTTGTATTCCGATTCGCGTAGCCTCTCGAGATTTTTCTCGTCGCGCGCGAATGCACCTCGAGTTGGAAAAATCTGGACAGGTGTTTACTGCCGCTTCGAGACAGGGACAACTCGAACGATCATCCGATGCGGTGAATCGAATTAAGGGACATCGTGCAACGTAAATTGTCTCGCGAAAAGTGAACGTCTTACCTGATTGTTAACTTCTTCTCTCATAAAGCTATCGAGGGACGACACCGCGTCCAGGACTGTGAGATTGTTATGCTGCCGTAATAAACTTTCGTCCTTTTCGCTGTATCCCAGGAACATGAAAACTCCGTGCGGTATAGAGTAAGCATCTGCGGAGAAAAAGTCAACGAGAAGATTTATCGCTGTAAATTACTCGTCCGGGAAAGTAGATTTTTGTTTAATTTGGAATACGATCAGGGCTTGATTAATATTCTATCGATCGAGTCGAAGAAATGTATCTTCTTGCTAGTTCGATCGATCTCTAATCGTCCCTGTTTAAATTGGAAAAATATCTTGTCGATCAACCACGTATCGCTCGGATCGCACTCCGTTCAAATTTCTCAGCGCGAAATCTAACGCGTCGAGAGGGTATATTCACCGGGCGAAGGCCGCATGCATATGAAACGACCGCTATAGCAAAGGCAGGGTCCGCGATGCGCCTGATATGCCGGTGCCTCGTGATTGTAGAAGGCAAAGTCCGTCTTGCAGGGCGACGAATCCACGCAGATCGTGTTGCAGATCAAAACTTCGCCCTCGCCGCACTGGCAGAGCTCCGAGCATTCCGGCTCGTCCTCGCGATAGAGCTGTTTAGGATCAAGCGTACGGCATTAATTTGCGTCTCTCGAAACGGCTCGACGAATCGTGCAAATGTACGTGGCGTTGGTCTAATTGTAACTCAAAGCCTCGAAAAGCTGAGTAATTTTCATTAACGTGAACATCGAGACTCGTTAACGTGTATTTTCTAATTATTTTGTTGTTAACATCGAGATGCATACGAGTTCAGGAAGGATCGCGTGAAATTCAAGATATTAAATGTTCCAGTTGTACACGTAAAACAAAATGTTGAACGTATCGTGTTTCTATTATTTCTAATTTTGCAGGTCCAGCTGCATCGGAATAACTATCGCAAACAGTGGAAAAATTGGTGCGAGTCGGTCTCGTGCATTGTCATTTCGTAATCAATTATCGTAATGGAATACGAAAATACGAATCTGCAGCCATTTTAAAGATGATCGATGGCGCTCGATACTGAATATTAATTATTACCGATATTACCTTGGACATTTTAAATTAAACTTTCCTTTCCCGACTCCACGATAACAATAACTGACGAACGGAAACGGAAAAAGTGGTGTATTTTTATTCCACGACTGTGAAAATTGTATTTGAAATCATCGACAGTTTTGGAATTTCACCTGTACTTTTAACGACTTTCACAACCAAGCAATTCATAACATTTTCCCAACACCATTAATTTCCTAGTTACATTTCGCGAAAGGACGTTAAAAAGCCGTTTAATATTTTTATTCGCGTTTCTTTATTTTCAATCAAATTAAATGTCTTCGTCCGTTTTCGTAATCCAATTCATGCAACGTAAACTCAGAATTCATTCTACGTCGATGTTTACATCAGTCGATGCAATCATCTAAAGCATTATATGAAAATATAATTATTTTTTGTAAAGGTATGAATTGTTTTAGTTGCGAACGATCGTACTGCCTTCGATTTACAAATGTGCAACGTTAAATGGAGAACGGGACCAGCTTTAATAGCCTTTTGTGACGAATTCTCTCCTGTTTTTTTTTAATATTTACGAAAGCTTTTAATCCCTGGAAACAAAGTTATTCAAAAAACAACAAACGAACAATTTGTTCTTACCGTATTCAACGTGGCCCGAGCACGGAGCTAAACTAAATTGGATATTCCAAGTTGTAACGTAAATAATTCAGAATCCGTATTTGAGTCGACTTCGTGTGAAAATAATTTCTAAAACTGTGGTCCATTACAAATTTGAAACACTTGAAACGCTTGATTCGTTCTGAACCTTTGTCGAAAAAAAAATTCTAATGTCGTTCACCAATGTCTACCATAGCTATTCCAATCCATCTGGACTTTCGTTTCTCTCCAAGATTTTTCGATCCTTTAGCGCATTCCTTCGACGTTTCGATCGGTCGAAAATGCATTTCGATCGCGAAAATACTTTGTACATTGTCGAACTCACCCTCTTGCCTTTGCCCTCCCTTATGTATTGGTGACTTTGCCTCGCCCTTTGAACCACGCAGAAGCCTATAAAGAGACGAACGTTGAGACGCGTGCTACACGTTTCTCCACGTCGAACTGTTTTCCTGTCTCGCGCTCCACCCTTTCCACCCTCGATCCTTCCCCGTTTTGAATTTTTCTTTCAGCCCGTTTCTTCCACCTACTTCGCTTTGTAACGTTCGACACACGAGTCTCTCGCGGCGGTGAAACGAAAATTCCTTGTGTTTCGGACAGAATTTCTCGTCCGGTTTCCAACGATCAAAGGAGCTGCATTTTCCATTCGAGAAATAACGTGTCACCGCACACGCACTCTCTGTTTTTCTTTCAACGCTCGCCACCCGAGGCTCCCGACTATCCTTTCGCGTTCGAAACCATTCGGTGCTCCGTTATCGATTCCGCAATCGCCTTGGAAATGCTTGGCACGAACCAATTCCTATACGGGGCGTTCCATTTTAATAAACCCATGCGATGGTACACGACTATTTGCTACCGTTAGCCGTTATTCCGCACACGCGTGTACCTCTTAAGGAAGACGAATGCGAATCATACTTTCTATATTCGCGCATCGATCGTAATAGAACAGCGTGTCGAAGATCCACGAAAGAGACATCGTGGCCCGTGCAAGTAATCGTACGGTATTGTCTATGCGTTGAAAACATTTCGAATATTGAATCGTAACAAATTTCAATTCGCGGTTACATATATCGTCCAAACATTTGTTGTGTTCTTCGTACATGAAACGTTGTATTTTTCGCGTAACCGATTGTATTGCAGAGTATCGATAACATTGATCGAAGCGTTGAATAAAACTATGTTTGTTTATGTTACATTTGTATCGTTTGTTTCAATGTAACGAGCAATATATGTATGTATGTATGTATGTATGTATGTATGTATGTATGTATGTATGTAGTTTGTCGAAGAGTCAATAGCGCGATCGACGGTCCAATCCTAACCCCGGTGATCGCAAACGTACGAGCGACCGTTTCACGAGGAGAACTGTGTCGAATAATTTGGTCAACGAGCAGATATCCGAGAGAAAGAAGCGGTACTTACGAGGCGGTGTGGTAGTGGTTGTCGTAGTGCTGGGTGTAGTGCTTACGGTGGTGGTGCTGGTGGTGGTGGTCGACGTCGTCGTCGTGGTGATTTCCCAAGTTTCCGTGGGTTCGGTGGTTGACCACCTCGTCACTTCCGGTATTTGATTATCTTCTACTTGTTCGACCACTGTAACCGTGGTCGTGCTAACCGGCGACCTGGTCGTCGACGAGACGGTCGTCGTTGTAGTTCTGGGATAATGATGGTGTTTCCTGCGTGCGTGATAGTCCTTCTGGGACTCGACTGAAACAATCGACACCCTCGTCTTAGCTCGTTTCTCCAGACACTTGTCATCGTTAGGAATCCATTAGTCCCTATTCTATGGTCTGTAAATTCTACTCTCGGCAGAAGCCGAAAGTGCTTCGAACCCCCATCGCATACACAGCCTCTTCGCGAACCTTACACGAATCTAGGAAGGATACTCGAAGGCGTCTATCTATGCGAATACCTAAATAAAGTAGAAAACCGCATGCCCGACACCACGGACCACCGAATTCGAATGAAAAGTGTTGGTAAATAAATTCAAGCGACAATTACCGGGCCACGTTAATTTGCATCGACCACGTTTATCAGGATGGCAAACGGAGGGCATCAAACCCTGCCGTTCGACCTACATTCCTATCGGGAATCGACGAAAGGCGATCGAGCCGTTCGGTGCAGTTAGCGCAGAGCGCGATGCACTTCTCGAGCAAGCGGCAAGTGCAATTTCTTCGTATCTAAATGACTTATCTGTCGGCTGAATGCCCGGGTACAGTCGGGCTTGTGCAGCTCGACTCGTGGAACAGATGTAAGATCGATAAAAGCCCTTTGTCGTGTCGTGCCGCGGTGTTCGTTCGTTCTTTCGACCGATGTAATTGCAATTCCGCGCGGCTGCACCGGCCGCGGTCGTAACGAAGCGCCGAGATCGTTCGACGATTGCCGCGGATAAACACTTTTATGTTTCCGAGCGACCGGAATCATTGGATGAAGCGGGAGTCGACGTAATTCGATAAACGGCGTTCGATCGTCGAATCGTAAATGTTCGCTACGATTTTAGACGTACCGATTCTTACGTCGTATCACGCGTATTCGAACACCAGCCGGCTAGACAGGAATAAAAAGGTTGCGCGCAAAGAAATCGACTCTGTCATCGTGGAAATATTAATTATCGTTGATATTAATCACTGCGGGCACGACGGAGTATACCGTGTCAAATATTTGGCTGTCCTTTGGTCATCATCAAACATTTGATCCCGACGGATGATTTTATGTCAACGGTGAAAACAACCGTAGGGTTTCCCAGGAAACGGTCCGCCGATCTCTGATTAAAACGACACACGCGGAACCTGCTCGACCGCGAATTCGTATTTGCGAGAAAAAATTCCGCGTGTCCGCAATCACAGGCGCGCGGGACCGCGATTTATTTCGAAATTTTTTGCGATCAAAAACCGATTACGTTCAGATGCGTTTCATCCGTTTCGTGCCCTGTGATTTTTCGTTGAGCAAATATGGAAACGGACCATTTTTACGCGCCGACTTGTGGTATCATTCGCGTTTATCGCTACGTTTAACTTTCAGCAGTCGAGTAACGACGTTTTTAATTATTCGAGTAATTGTACATCGCGCGTCAAACGCTGCGCATTACTTGAAAATAAAAGCCGTGGAGTACTCGTTGCATCGAACATTCCGCGACGTTCGTTCGATTGTTCAGAAATATAAATATTTTAGAAATTATTGTGGAGACTAGTAGGTAGGCACTATGAATAGAATTTGTGCTCGAAGCTGAACGTTTCTAAAGATACTCGGGGCACGGAAACGAAATTGTATATAATATCCTATTCGAAATGGAAAGTGCGCATCCCTTGCGTCGAATCGTACGAGGATTGCATAAGAACGAAAACTGTATAGCGGAGCGCAACGAGTTGCCTTTCGCGAAACACACTTTTCTATAATTCACGAAAGCTACGGCAAGCGTTCGCCGGAACAGAATAAAAGATTAAAAACAAACGGACGTGCTTTTCACTCACCTACACAAGGATTTACCCAGAGAAGCCTCTGCCAGCCGAGGCAATCGTAGATTTGCGTGAGTTCCGTGCCTTTGCAGGCGCAGTTGGATCGCAGCTCGGTACCAAGGATTCCTAGCATCGCTTTTCTACACTCGGCCGGCTGACCGGCGCACTTCTTCGTCACACTGTCCACAGCGCAACTTTGCTCGTAGTACTCCAGCTTCATTCTGCACAGCACACACCGGTCACGAGAATCGCATCGCTGTCACGGATACTGACAAACGTTTCGAAACTCTCCGCAGGAAGTGCGGTCGCACCGACGGCTTCCAAGTTTCGAAAGAGACGCGTCGAAGGACGACGACCGGAAATTCTACCCGAGTCACCCGCTATCCTTTGTCGCGCCAAAATCAAACTAATTCGATGGCCAGGGTCTAGAGCTATTTTTCCCCAATGGGCCCTTGATTCTTTCATCTACGTTTTAACTTTTTAGCGTCGTACTTGACGTTCTTTTAGAAAAAAAAAAAATTCGTTCGACGTTTCGAAGCAAACGCAGTCGATCTTTTTCAAGTTCTACCCTGGGAGACCCTTAAAGAGAGCCCTTGGCGTAATTTGAAGCGACCGAAATTGACCGTCTTTTTCTTCAAAGTAATAAAGTGTTTTATTACGCGGCGAGACTGAATCGAGTCGCGTCTCGTCTCGTTGACTTGCAATTTAACTTTCAAATTGAAGGCGTAGGTACCTCGGAGCTTGTAGCAGGAAGAAAAAGGATCCACGGCGTTTAATCGAAGGATCGGTCTCGTCGATAAGCGTTTACCGCTGTTGTTCGCGGCGCTGTATAATTTTTGCGATCTTGATACGCGGTGGATTAATCCCGGAGCTTCGTAGTTCGCGTTTCTCCCTGGTCGAATCGTTAATCGTGGAAAGAATCCCCCGACGTGGGAAAAGTTCGCTTTGAAAATAAACGTCGAGGAAGGTACGATTCGTTTCCTCGAATGGTCGCCCTTTAATCAACCGAGCGCACGCATTGGTTTATCTTTCGAATCATCTCTGCGACGTAATAAATGATAGTAAAACGAAATACTCGATCAGACGCAATCGATGAACCTCTTTCAAAATTTTTCTCCTCTCTTCGCGTAGATCATTTCGTGCCGTGTCTTCGTTGAAACATCGAATAGCGGTCCAACCGACGATGCTCTGAATTGAATTTCCTCTAATGCCGTAGTCGCGGACCGTATTCATAAGGAGAGGCGAAAAATGAAACGATTCAAAAAGTATCACGGTCGCGGTGGTCCCGTTCAACGCGGGCACATCGCGAACGGAGTACACGTGAAGTTGTTTGCGCGAGCATAGCGGCTAGGAAAAAGTTGGAAGGATGAAAACGTTGAGGACACGAAACTTTAGGCGGGGTTAACACAGGTACCTAAAAGCTATTCAAAGAGCGCAGCACAGAATCTGCTGCGATTTCTCGCATTTATTTACGTACGGTATATCGAGTAAATTCACATAAAACTCTAGCGAGACGTCTAACGAACGTTAAACGATTCCTTTAAACGTCGCAAGTTTCTCGACACGTACCTGCAACCCCGGTTTCCTTTGCAGGCCTCGGCCAAGCTGTGACAAGTCGGTGTCTCCGAGCCCACGATTCGCTGTGCACACGCAGGGTGCATCTTCTCCTGCGCCACTATGCACTCGTCCTTCTTGCCGTCCGTCTTTCTGCGAAACGAGGTCGTCTACGTTATTTCCAACTTATTTCGCGTCGTAATTGGTCCTGTGCAACGTACCGCGGCTTCCGACGCTGAGGAGAGCCAATTTGGATCCCTCCTCGAACTTGAATTCGTTTGAATTCCCGCGCACTTTAAACAGTCGAGAAGCTAAAAAAGAGAACCTCGACACAAGAATTCTCTGTTTCTACCGATTCGAGTCTAATTCGTTTTCGTGAACTAATTCCGAAGGTAACGGGGAAGTTCACGGGAGAGTTCGATTTTCGTTTCGGATAAAGGACTGGATTCGTCGCTCGAAATTTGAGGAGAAAAGAGAAGACGCAGCCGATTTACTGCACGAGAAAGCACCATCCTAAAGCCAACTTCCATCTGCTTGCTCGGTGGGTTGGAGGGAGGTTTAAGGAAGGAATTCCCAGGCAGACGGGCAGCGAGAGGTGGGTATTGCTCAACGAGCATTAAACGAGCCTGCTACGTATTTTATTCGGCCGCGAGACTTTTCGTTTCATCGTTCGGTTCTCGTTTCTAGCGCGTTACCCTCGCTTCCTTCCTTTCTGCCTCGAACGTTCGTATTATGGGAAGCCCCTCCGTGAGCCAATAAACGCTCGACGAAGTTTTCGACACGTTAGCGGATTCCTTTAATTGTTTCGGCATGTTAGGAAGACTAGCCTAGTATCGGATCGATTAACCCTTTGCACTCGAATGTCTTCTCCGAGGGGACATCGTAAATTCAGGCAAACTTTGTTAGTGATTACACAGGATAAAGTTATGGGAGCGTAAAAGTTGTAAAAATGTACGAATCCTCGAAAGTTTCTATTCAAATATCACGAAAAATCAAATGAAAATATGATACATGCATTAAGATAAACAAAATTATGTTCCTCAATGTCCAAAGATTCATATAAGCTCGAATATCATTACAATAAATTACATGCATTATAAGTTACATTATGTAATACATGATTCCTGTTTACACACTTTGTAACGGAATGTTTCCGAGTGCAAAGGGTTGAACAGTAAAATGCATTAGCGACGTATTATCGTACGTATTACGAACCGAGTCAAGTTCAACCGTGACGGTAGAATAGTTCCACAGGGTGAAAAGGAATATTCTACAACGACGTATTCTGTTCGAATAATAGCATGTCCGGATCAAAGGGATCCGAATAATGGATACTACAATGGACGCTACAAAGCGTTATTTTTAGCAATACAAGATTAATTCGTCCGAGAATCAGGATATATCTCCGTACCGACCGGAAACTGACCTTTTCTGATGTTAATCAATTCAGAAGAGGACACCGATCTCCTTCCGGCCATCGGGACAAAAGGATGCTGCCGGGACAATGAACCGAGGAATCAGAGTGAGAAAAAAAAATGGGGAAGGCAGATAGAAAGTTTCTGCATTGTTTCGTGAGCAAAAGCCACTTAAAAGTTAAAGGAGCTTCCCTGAAAAAGAAGCCTGCCAGCCGGCCGGCCGGCCTCGTTGGCGCGAAAGGATTAGGGATGCAGAACTTAAGGTATTTCTGCGGAAGACGGTCCTTTGTGCCGGAGATTTTCTCTGGCCACCCTTTGTCCGTCTCTCTCGCCTTTGCTGCGCGTTTACTCAGAATTACGGGAACGTACAAAGACGAGTAGCTTTAATGTAGTCGTTCGATAATACACGCCGAGGCTGTTCAAATAATCAGCCGAATCTTCGCTCGCTGTCTCCGTTCGTCTTCATTCCGTGCTCGCGCTTAATCCAGAATTATAGCGGTACGGCGGTCTCGTTAAGGCTTTAGATATCGATACGAATCGTGGTCGCGGGATACCCGAACCCGGTTCGTCGGAGTGCGGCGTTTAGAGGGTGCACGACCCCGAATGTTTGCATCGTCGACTCACCTGCACAAACAGAACGCGATCTCCACGGAGTACTTGTGGTTCGCGGACTTGTAGAAATTCTGCAACGCCTCCATGCATTCGTTTCTCGCGCAACTCGACGAGTCGCAGTGATTCAGAACGGGCTCCAAAAGGACCTTACACTCCGGTTCGTTCCTGAAACGAGAAGAAACGGACTTGTTGAAAGCGAATCGAACGCGTGGAAAGGAACAGAGAGAAAGCGTTATTTTTGCTCACTTGCAAGCGGTGTAGGCGTGATGACACGTGCTCTCCAGCACAATTTTCACCGGCTGTTGGATTTTGTCCAGGTCTGACGCGGCAGATGGCATTACCACCGACGTTTCTGCGCAGAGATGTAACAAAAAAAAAAAAAAAAAAGAATCGTTTTGCGAACAAGTACGAAGCGTAGCGGAAAAAGAAACAACGAAACGGAAAGTCTGTTAAAATGGAAAGTAAAACAACATTGAAGCGAAACCTTATTTCATCCAGTCTTCTCCTTGCAAAAGTAGTTCGCCGAGAATATAGAAATTAAGGGAATTCCGAAGTGAACCGCAAATTTCCAAGGGAGCGAATAATCGCGTGGATTTCCGTCGACGCGCGTAACTCTTGTTTCTCCCTTCAAACGCGTTTATCGCATTCTTGCCTCCCCGCGACGAAGATCGCTATCGGTAAAGTCAAACGCGTCGGTACACCACGCAATCGTGCTCGTGGCCATTGTTTGCACAGTCGAGCGGAGCCTCCTAGTACTCCAACCAGTGAACAGAAACAAATGATTTATCATTCGGTGACCGACTGGCCTGACTGAGCGAACCGAGCTAAAAGAACGACCCTCCGCAGCGAATCTTGAATATTTATCGGCCCATATTTACCCCAGCTCGCTCACCACTTAAAAACAATCGCCGAGAATAATTGTTTATTTATGCAAATCGCTCTGGCTTTGGTTTCGCGAAGGAAAGTTAGAGCTTAAGGGGCTCGAGCGGCAACCGCTAAAAGAATAAAGCTGCGAAAATGCCGAGGATACGAAAAACAGGATGAAAACGCGCGACAGAAATGAAAATTTCTGCTCCAGTAATTGATAAAGAATAGATTCGTAGGGCGTCGGGATATTAACGATGCAAAACAAACTTCGACGAAATGCGTATAGATTCGACGAAACAAAATCGAACGCGATGGAAAGAGCGAATCGCAATTCTACGCTGAATATTCATCCGAAACTTGGCCGTTTTAGTTTCGGCGCGGCGGTGAGGAGAAAAGAAATTGTGTATTTACATAAGCGCGTCAAGACGGCGATTTAAACAAACTTCGCGACGACTTTAAATAAACTTCCGCATTAAGGGACCGGAATAAATGTATAAGGTTAATGCAAGAATTATGCAACCGCTGGCCGAGGCAACAAAATCTTCCCGTGTCCCGTATTAATTGTCGCGATGAATTGCATCGCGGCCGCGGATGCAAATAAACTGGGAACGGGAAACTTTGCGCGACGCGTTCGCTTCTATCTGTTTACGCGAAACGATCCGTAACTAATTAAACGGACATTACGTAAATAACCAAGTAACTGAAAAAGGAAGAATTCCGTGGAATAGATTTCCGCGACGACAATACGTTTCCCGACGTTTATATCGATGTTTCAATATCTCCCCGATCGACGATAAATATTCAGGGATTCGACTATTATTCGACCATAAAGAAACCCCATTCGAGACCGAGCGAATGGAGTTAAAAGGGGTCAAAACGAGACCGAAGGAGCCAAGACGAGCAAGGATCCGCCCGATGACGAGTGTTCGGCATCGTTAACCAGCCACCCTTCTTCGATTGATGGACTCGGTGGTTGGGGTTAACGGCCTCGGGGCTGGAGACCCCTTCCGAATATCGCCGGAACCACCTTCTCCGTTGTAAGCGAGGGAAAAACTGTCGGAAACAGACCGTGAGAGGGGTGCAGTCCCCGTTCGGATGATTAGCCATAAGTCAGCCGTCGCGAAGAACATGCCATCGACGCACTTTATTAAGATAAACGAGCACTCAAAGTCTTTGGGTTCCTCCCTTCGGATGCCTTAATTGCTGCTCTTGAAATCTTCCTTACGGGGGTGGGTGCTTTTGTCTTTGACCTTCGGACGTCTTTTACCCAGCGAGACGCGTTTCAAGGGACGAAGAAATAGTTGGGAATTCGGATATCAAATCTACAATCACAGGAGAAATTTCTATCGAGACAAGGTTGCGCGTAAATTCATTCGAGACGCCATCTAACGCGCCGAGTCTCTCTCGAGAGATGAATTCGCTCTATCGATATTCTCTGTACTTTGAGAAGAGGTGATCGGTGTTACGAGAAGAGAGCCACGTAAAACTGTTGGCCTTGTATCGATGACACCGTTTATCCACCTTAAATAAACTCGTCTCTCGCAGGTAGTCGGAAGTTATAGCACCTCCGAGGATCCGTGCGATTCTCGTCCACGGAAAAACAAGGATGCTTTCTATCGCTATGGCGTGGAAAGACGCCTCGACAGGGTGGTGGTTTTTATTTTTCTTCTTTCGTCGTTGTTCTTTCTCGGGAAACGTTGAGAAACGCTTACGTAATCTCGATAATGCGAATTCGTTCGTTCCTTTCATTCTTTGTCATTCATCCGACTATATTTCTCCTTATTTTACTCTTCGCGTAACGACGACGACTCTTTCCTCGTTCGACGAATAAATAAACTGGGAATTTTTCTCAATTTTGTGACACGGAGAGCGTTCGAAAAACGTCGACGATTCCGATGGTAGCCACTTCTGAATTGAAACGATTTCGAACAAAGGCCAACTTCCTTGAGGAAATGGGTCCAATCGACTCCCTGTATAATTTTCCCTTAATTAATTTCGAGATGCTCGAACCGTCCCTTTTCTCGAGCTCCCCCCTCGCGAGCGTCATCGTCCCAATTAAAATCGCTGTTATCATTTCCAAGAAGAACTCTTCACCTACCGTCGCGGAAAAGTAGTCAACGAGTTTGTCGATGCGCTCGCCATGGAACGCCGAACGTCGAAGGTGACCTTCCGCGCAAGACTTCTCGGAGCTATAGGATCTGGGACAGGATTTTCCCGCGTAGGAATATCAATCGTAGGAGTTCGAGGTACCCGGGTTGGGCGGGATGGCTCGACTCGATCGCAGACAGATTCTTCGAGTCGGCCGGAGAAACACGGCCAATTGGAACCGGTGGTAATTGGAATCGGTGTCCGTCTGGCTCCTCGAGATCGATGCCGCACCCTCCCTCCTATCAGGATATATCCGACCCGTGGCAGCCTCCGAACCTTTCCGGTGACGCAGGTGCACGGATATCGAAACTCGACGGAGCTCGTTAGACTCGCCAACGAGGAAAATCGTTTCCCACCGGACAGAAAAACGATCACGTTCGAACAGGATCTTTCGTCGTCATTTACATCCGACTATAGCACTCGCGGTTTCGTCGTCGACGGTAGAGCAAGGGGTTGAAACGATTGGCGACGGAGTGTTGAGAAATTTGGAAGCCAAACGAGCGCGAAGCCCGAAGAACGATACCTATTTCCGCGGTGAATGAAACGTGCTAGAATCGACGGGTTGGTGTTAGCAAATTGGTCGTTAAAGAACGATACGCTAAACCCGAATGGAGGAGAAAATTCGTCGATCGATTCTCCAAACGCGTCGACGAATTAGTGGCAGAATTCTCTGTGACAGAACCGAATCGATCCTTCCGCTTGGTAATTGTATAACCTGCGGTACGCTTTAACCTCTATTTGCGTTTGCGAGATTCTAATGGATATCCCGCGTTGGACGACCAATACCGTCCGTCGTTAATCGACGGGAAAAGAACAAGAAGAAACGGCGGGAAAAACCTTGAAACGGTCGCGAACTCTCGCAAGTTCGCGAGCGTAATCGCGTTTCGTGCGATGGAAGTTAATTGGATAATTAAGCAATCGGCCGCCGCGACTACCGGCGACTACCAGCGACTACCGGCGCGGGGTCATTCTCGAAGAAACGGGGACGGAGCGAGGAGCTTAAAAAATTATCCAGGCTAAGCAAAAGCTTTGGTCGATTGCTTTCGCAAATTTGCAATTGACCGGGCAAGAATCGATCGAGCGATACCGACTGCATGTAAGCAAACACGCGACCCAGGCTCCGACCGGAAAATAGCTCTTTCTCTGCGCCGGCAAAAAATTATTTGACAGCCTTTCGCGTGTGTATATTCTGCGTGCTTTCGAAACAAGCACGCTATTAAATCGCGAAGGAAAATAACGATGCCGCTTGAAATTTTCGTGCAAGAGGCGAAACAGCTGTATCGACGTATATGCATTGCACATACATCGCGTTTGTCCTTCTTTGAATTGTTTCTCCGTTAACGAACTCGGGTTTAATTGCTAGTCGGTGGATTATTTCTTCGCGGTGGCTACCAACGGCAGAGAAACTTTATGCATCGACACGTTTCACGTTTTTTCGCATCCTTCCGCGGAAACTTCGACTCTCCGATAGGTCACGGTTACCTGATAAACTGTCGGGATGGAACCGACCCCTTTGTTAATCCTCAAACATCGTATATTCCTCGCGCGTATTCTCGTTTGCGTGCTCTTCTCCTTCGATGAAACCGAGATGGATCAGTTTCGAATCGCTTCCTAGGAAGCATATGTCGTTGCGTCTCGTTGAGACGTGAATTATTTAAACAAACAGGGCCATTCGAGACACATGTTTCGGACACGTAAAACACCATTAGGTTCTAATGACCGTGTCTAAGTGTTGGACGTTATTCGAATGGAATTTTGAATACATGTGGCTTCGATAACTTGTTACGATGCGTTAGTTCGCTCCAAACTAGAGCATGCGAGTAGCAATTTGGTTTTCTAGTCGCATGAAATATTTCCCTTAACAAGATGGAAAGACTCCAGCATGGATTCTTCGAGTTTAAATATAGACGCGGTAAAGGACAGAGAACATTTCGTCGGTGCTATTTTTGAGCTTAAAACCGTTTGCATCGATTGTTCGAGAATTTTAGAGTCGGGTTGTTTCAACGCTTGCCCTGTATCACCTGTGCACTTATTCGCTCCGGTACACGAAATTTCAGAGATAACCTTTCTCGTACCCATCTCGCTACTTGATCGTACGAGTACGCTAATTAATCTCTCCACACGTCGTACTATATATTTGCGTATTATATCGCTACGTAGTTTCAGGTATCAGACCGCCTAAAGTTTCCAACCACGCAACGACGAGGTTTCTGTTTTCTTGGACCGTATCCACGGACCAGAGGACCAGCGAAAGACGGAAAGTCGAACGCACGCGCGTTTCGTCGCGTTTCCGCGGGAAAGCGAAAAATGTAGGACAGACGGCGTATCCGCGGACGGATTTTACTTTATATACGTATATCCGAAATCGATAGGGGCGCACTTTTGACGAGTACGCTCGAACGTGCTCGCAGGTGCACGGAGGTGGGCGCATGCCCGGACCTAGATGCGCGTACCGGTGTGAGTAATAATTACGGTGACCCGTTTGTTTAACTTCTCCGATAACGAGCAACGATTTTGCGCCTAACTCTCGCGTCTCTCTCTCTCTCTCTCTCTCTCTCTCTCTCTCTCTCACACACACACACACACACTCTCTCTCCCTCTCTCGCGACGGAGTCGAGGAAATACAACGCGGCAAAAACGTACGAAACGTTTCTATCGCGCGATTCGTGAAACGACGAATTTCAAAATGCGCCTATGTTCCATGGTGTAATTACCGCGGCGCGCGTCAAACGATCACGGGGCTGCTAATTAGGATAATAAGCGACGGTCTCGACCGCGTAGCTTCGAATTCGCGAAATCGACTCGAAAGAGATCCAATTCGAGATAATAATTCTCTCCGATCGAGAATTTTCGAGCTACGCTCGCACCAAACGCGTCCAAGATCTTTGGTCGTTCGACGGAACGAGCTTCCGGTCCCGGTAGACCGCTCCGTCGAAATTGAATATATGAATGCGAAATTTCAGCGCGTCCAGGCCCGTCGAGAGTTCGACTTTCGAACTAGAGAAAATAGCGACTCGTTAGGTTAGCACCGCTCTACGGAGAAACGGGTAAATAAGCGGTCGAACGAATTTTAATTAGGACACGACAAGTGGCGGGAAATGCGCGCTTGTTCGCTACGACGTTGAAAGGCGGGCCTGATTACATCTCCGCGCGAATATCCGTCGGGATCGACGAACGCGAAGGTGACGCGGCGAACGAATAATCGGAGCGGATCCGGTTCAAGCGCGACGATCGTCGAGAAATCCTAAAGAATCAAACCGGCGACGGGATTTCTACGTTCTCGAGCGCACTTGTACTAGAACTTCGAGTATAATATGCGGAATGGAGCATTCGAGACGAGTCATCCGGATAACTCGTTTACATTTCAAGATAGAAAGGAACGTTCGCAAAGTAAAATATTTGAGGCTTTCATGGCCCGGTTCTACGTGGTTTATACCAAGCCCGGCTGTCGGGTGTAAGCCGTGTCCTTTGGATAAAATACTTGGACGGTTCTCCGGCATTGCGGCTCTAGCTTCTTCGTCGGTCGAAACGACACACCGATATCGGCGTGCGTCGTATAAAATAACGCTTAAACTTAAGGCCCCACGGTAGCGTTTCGTGGACACCTGCTCGCGACATTTTCGATTAGAAAAATCAGTCATCCGCCTTTCTTTCGAACGGTTCGCTGGATTACGAAACACGATAGCTTCGCGGTGCTCGGCGAACCGTAGGAATCCGTTTCGCTCGAATCAATCACCGGACGGAACATCGATACGCGGGTAATCGCTGGATTAAAGGATAACCAAGGATAATTACTCGCCGCCCGATCCGGATGCAATCAATTCTCGATGCGTTATAGTTCGCATTGCCGCACCGGGTCTACGCGTTCCTGCTCCTCGAATCCCGCATCCGTCTTCCTCTCCGTTCGTTTTTTCGCACACCACGATTCAACGCGCGTCTGCCCTGATTCTGGAACGGTTCTACCTCGACCTAACTCGAATCGTTTGGCCTTCGTCGTATTTTAATTAACGCGAGCTCGTTCTTTGTTGGCTCATCAGAGATTAACTCTTTGTCGTCGTTTCGTAGGTTGCGCGCTAAGCCATTTTCCACCCTCGCTAAGTTGTTAACCAATCGCGAACAGTTTGTTTCGTTGCGGCGCGAAAAAAAAGAGAAGCGTACGTAGAATTTGTTCAGTGAACGTTCGAGGAGAGTCCAGAAAAGTGTTAATCGTTACACGAGCGTGGGAAAATTGCGCGGTGTGTATTTCTCGCGATAGCGGCCGGTGTCTTGTCCGGTAGGATTTATAGCTGCTGACGTCACGCATATTCACCGTACCGGTTGGAATTATGTTGACCACGGTTTTGTTCTTGTTAACGCAGGGGAAAATTCGTCCATCCATCAAGTACCATGAGTTACGAGAAAAACGGGGGCGCGGAAAAATGTGTATTCGTTTCGCGCGCTGAAAGCGTCGTTCCGAGTTACCGTCTTCTCCTCGGCTGGCAATTTCAGCGTTGCCTTTTCGTGGGGCAAAATTATCCCGCAAATTCGTGGCCCCGCTTAAATTACACCTTCCCGGTGGGTGGCACGAGTGCCTCGTAAATTTTTCTCGTTCCGCCGCTGGAACTTTCCCGCGGAATCGATCGGACGCGTAACGTCGCGGAACGTCGCCCTGCGATGGTTAAACTTTATCGCGGCGAAAGTTTAATTTAATTTCACCTCCAAGTCCTCTCATTTCCTGTCCTACCCCGTATCTCCCAGTATTATTTCTCGGGCTGCCGGATTTCGAACTTTAATCCGAGCGTTGCGCGACAAGAACCACCCCTCGCTCTCGAAACTTTTCGCCGGATTTCGATATCCACGCTCGTTTCGGCCCGATCGTCGAGAGGTTGCGAATAAATCGTCGACGATGCTAACGACGAGAGTCTAACGAGGAGAAGCGTTGCTATTAATTAAAGAACGATGATACTCACGATCGTGATCGTCCGTCTGATTCTTCTTGCGATGGGGCTTGTGATGGTGGCCACCGGGCACGGAAAGCTGCTGCATGGCGAGAAGATCTTGGTGTTCCGCGTCGATCAACGGGTTCTCGAGCTGCGACTCGATCACCTCGAAGCTGGTCGAGTTGTCCGGGTGAGCGATGACCTTCACTGTAAACCAGCAAGCGTACCGGAGCATGGAGGAACGAGTACGGGCGCCTTGGTCGTCGGCTCTAACCGTGCTATTTCCCCTCGCATCGACCACGAACCCGATGAAACGGTTTCGGGAGTCGGGAGAGCCCACTGTTACGCGAGCAGTGCTCCGAACCGAGCGGATTCGCACTGAATCTTCTTCGAGCGAATTTTTGCGCCTGGCGCGGGGTGTTCGCGAGATCGAAACATCGAGGACGTAGTTATCGAAAGGCCGCCACCGCGACAGGCAAAGTCGCTCGAGGACATGGAACAACGGAACATCGGCTGAAATTTTAATATCGTCGTTGCATCGTTTCCACGGTTCTTCGTCAACGCTCGACAAAAACGCGTGAATCGGTCCGGCATTTGATTAGCAAGTCGACGCGACGACGAATCCGACGTCTCGCGTGCTCGCGAGCTCGCTGCGCTCCAAACCCTTCGCGGTCTCGAATCGGCGTAGTATCTGAAAAACAGCAACGAAGCGATAAAGCTTAGGCGATGCCGGATCGATCACCGCGTCGAACGGAAACCGGAGGGGTTGGAATTCAGGAGCGAAGAGCCAAGTCCGGCGGTCGGGACGCGATGCGTGCCCGATCAAATTTTCGAGAAGAATCGGGCCACTCGGTATTTTTTGCGTCTACCAGCGGGAGTTTCGTCGAAGAATGACGATTGACGAGGTCCGCGGGGACACGGCACCCTGATACCGGTGTACGAACCTTGGTCGACGAACCCTTCGAAGGCCTCGCGGAGATCGAAGAGCCGGTCGACGGGCAGCGCGCCGATCCTGAATTCGTGGTCATCGAAGTCGTCGTCGGCGCGATCGAAGATCGCCCGGTGCTCGTAGGTGGGCCTGGGCGCGAATTTCTTCGGCTGCACCAGCTCGGGTCTCTCGATTCGTTTCGTCTCGTCCACGGTAGGCGTTGGACGAGCCGGAGGATAACTCGGCGACGACGACGACGACGACGACGACGACGACGACGACGATGACGACGATGACGACGACGACGACGACGACGACGACGACGACGACGACGACGACGAAGATGAAGACGACGTCGCGGCGGACGGTGGTGCGGGTGGTGCAGGGTTGTGCTGGTGGTGCTGGTGATGGTCATGATGGTGCAGGTGCGCGTCATGCTCGCTTTGGGAGTGCCTTGGCTGCAGGTGCACTGTGCTGGAGGCACGATCATGCTTGGACAACGTGGAAGAAGAAGAAGAAGAAGAAGAAGAAGAAGAAGAAGAAGAAGATGAAGAAGGGGAAGAAGACGAAGAGTAAGAGGAAGAAGATGAAGAAGAGCCGCGATCATAGAAGCTCCCAGATCCCTCCATCGACCGATCTTTCTCCCTGTAAGCAGGCCGATGCTCGTCGTCGGCGCCAGCACGAGCCCCCTGCCGGTTCTCGTGATCGGCACGAGGTTCGTACGCTTCGACCACGAGGACACCGGGCCTGCCGGGTAATTCCGGTGCTTCCTGATGACGCCCGTGTTGATGACGGTGGCCGTGCTGACGCCTCTGCCCGGGCTCCTGGACGTCGTACGTGCTCTCGTGGTCGTAGTACGAGGTGCGCGCGGCCTCGGGGAACAGAAAATAGGGGTACATACTGGTCGGCGGTAACCAGATCTCCTGGTAGCTCTCCTGCTGCGGGTCGAACGGATACAGGGCCGAGTCCGTGCCCGACAGGTCTACAGAGGTGGAGGAGGGCAGGAACTCTGTAACACAGAAGCAGAGACGCGGACGAAAACGGGGTGAGTGGGGTGCGTGATCGCATCGGTACACGTGCACGGACGGGTCGAGTGGTACGTGCTACGCTTGTGATAGTGATGGTGGTAGTGGTGGTGGTGGTGGTGGTGGTGGTAGTGGTGGTTGATGGTCGGTGGTCGTGACGGTGGTGAATAAAATAGTTTTCGGAGCGCGGAACTGTTGCCGTGGGCGACGGTTGGGAATTTCGGACGTTTATATCTTCGGAAGAAATTAATTGGTTATAATTTGTACACATCGCGCTCCGAGAAAACTTTATTTAAACCTTTTTTGCGACCTCGGGCTTTGGCTTCGTTTCAGCACGTAAAGAAACGACGAGGAAAAAGGAAAAGTTACATTACTCGTAAATGTCAACAAAATTGCTTCGCGGAACTTCAAAACAACGAAATTACAAAAAAATCATCGTATCTACGATGAACCACGCGCTTTTCGGAAATACCGTTCCGCGACAAATGCCCATCGAGAGATACTGCTCGTTACGGAGCAACCGCCGCAACTACGGTATTCCACAAATTGCTCGAGCAATAAGGTCTAACGCGGGCCCATTAACGTCCCCGGAGGAGTCGATCAAACTCATGGTCGACAAAAAGACGAACGGATCGCGAAGATCTCGCCGGTCTCTCTCGAGGATGGTTTCGCGAACGCGCGCGCTCAAAGCCAGAACTGCACGCTAGTAAAGCGTTTGCTTAGGCGTTCGGCGTTAGTTGGAGTTTCGCGGGAACTTGGAGTGCCAAAGGGAGTCCCGAGCCGCGTAAATCCAGGTCGAACGTCAATTCCGATTACGACTTGGTTCGTTTAATGCTCGGCGCAGGCTTCCTCGCGATCTTTTTACGACGAATCCTTGGCACGTTCGTTCGCGAATTGCTCGAATAAACAAGAAAATATTTTGCTCTTCCTCGGAATAACTCGAAACTAAACGATTGCCGCTCTTCGAATGCTCGAGGCGTTCTCGAATCTAAAAAGGAGAATGGCGAGGGAGTAGAAGAGTATGTAACGAGTCGAGCGAGTAACAGAAAGTAAGAGAGTCGTAGTAGGCGATTAATCAACTGGCATGCGCATTGTCAGAAAGAAATCGAAAAATTCAGGCATGCAGGCTGAGAACGTGCACGGCCGACTTGGCCTCGAAAAAGAGAATTTCTCGTGCAAAAGTACGGCATGCGGTGCGTAATCTCCTTGCATTCTCGCCCGAAGGCTTTCGAGCTCTTATCCGCCACCATCGAGCGACACCGTTCTCCATTTCCAAAGGAACGATTCTCGTCGATCCTAAATCCTAGCTTCGGGTATTACATCGATCCGTGCACGGTAGCCTCGATCGGACCCTCGAGTCGACTTGAATTACCATGACACCGTCGTAAACGGATGCGCGTCAACGATTCGATGCACGGAAAGGAATAGCGATGAAAATAACAACGGGCCGCGAATTCGAATTCGGCCTCGCGTGTTTCTTCCGATAATCGACCATGTTCGATCGGAGGATCGAGAGCCGAAACTTGAACGATGTTAAAAAAGAAAGAGAAGGAGCGGCGCGGATCGATCTCGAAATGCAAATCCTTCGGGCGGAATGCGTACTTAGGAGGTGCTGGTGCTCTCGTGCAGACGTTCCTTGACATTCGAGGATTTCAAGGGTGGCTTCAGACTTCCGTGGCCTCCCATCGTTGCTTCGTGGATATCCGGAAACTGAAGGAAACTTTTCAAAACCGCGGTGGAACAAAGCGTCCAGGATCATCGTTTACGTTCCGTTCCTCTTCCTGCTCGTGTAGCTGACCGTGTTATCCGAAATTTCGGATTTCGTCGATCGACCTATCGAATCCTCGAGAAGAAATCGCCGGAAAGTTTCCTCAACCGAACCGAATATACCGAGGTTGAAAACTCTCATAATTATGAACATTTAAAAAAAAAAGTGTTCCACTAATTTTGTCCAGTAGTTTATTTCGACCGTTTCCGTTCTTGCTTATTAAGATTTTTGACAAACTAACCAGCGAATCGCGCATCGAATCCTCCTTAAATTTCGAATCGTATCTTTCGTTTCTTATACTCGTGTTTCCCGATACTTTGTAAACGATATCGACTGTCAAAGCGACGGTTCGACTCCTCGGTGCTGAAACGTACAAAATTGAGAACGGCCTGGTCGCCGTTGATCGTCCATCCAGGAACGAGCATCGGTTCGCTCGGCTACCGAACGTTTGAAAGAAAGGGGACAAACGACTTGCGCGTCGCGCATACGCATCGAGTGGCAAATGCACTTATGTAGTGGCGCGAAACGCCCTAAATTGTGATCCGCGTTTTATCGAGAACCTTGCTAGGCTCTAGTCGAAATCCAGCCGATCTTGGACGAACGAAAGGAAGGCGAACCAGGAGAGGGTTTTTATAAACGTATCGACCAGCCATTTATTTCTCGCCAACCTAAATGTATCGCGGAGCAATGAACTTGGTTCGATGGAAAGAGCCGGCGCGTGCTATCGCGTCACGATCTTCGATCCCGTAACATCGATCGTGATCGAAGATAAAGACGAATACGTTTTCGCGGGCGTACCGATGAAAAGAGACTCTAAAAATAGCTGGTCGAGAGTGTCGTTAGGCTCGACGGGAAGAACGGTATGGAAGATGTTGTTCGAAGGGATCGGGATTTCAGTGAAATTAAGGTTGAACCCGCCACGCGATGAAATCCTTATCTACATCTCGATACCGGTAGCCTTTAGTTAATTGAGGAGAAAGGAACTTATCCGAAAGAGGCTATAACGTCATCCCACGAGCCTTAAACACCGCGGTATCGCCGAAAGTAATTGTTCCTTTCCATTCTTTGCGGTCAATTTGGACGACTAGAAAAAATAACGAGACTGGAAACATCCCGATGGCCGTGTCCGTGGTCGACGAAACCTCTTTGATTTATCGAATTTTCACCGAGTGCAATTTCCTCGTTTCTCCGCGATTCCTACGACTAAATGGTAACTTCGATTCTAAGATAACTTAATCTCGTCGAAATTGCAACGGTTGATTTTGGTATATCGACGAATCGAATAATCGGATTTAAGCTCGTAAAAGTCTCGATGAAATAATACCGAGAGTAAGGTATCGTGGGATGGTCCTCGAATCTTCTATTTAAAAGGTCGGAAATGAATTTTATCCCCGAAGTAATTCGATGCTTCTTTCGAGTCTAAAACCGTCCCTATCTTTGACGGGATTCGGATGAATGTTTTCGCGTGTTTCGGTCTAAGATCGTTAGGATTCCCTTTGCCGAAACGAAGAAAAGTAGACTAAAAAAAAAAAAAAAAAAAAAAGAAAGAGTACTCCGTGTAAAGGTAACAGACAAACAGATACACAAGGGGCGGGCAATCGAACGAACTTCTCGCAACGAGACGGGCGAAATGTAAAAGTAAATCGGTATTTGCCATATCCAAAAAATACACACGTTACTTCACAACACCAACAAGTCGTTTTCCACAAGGTGCGCTAGTAAATACTGTTAATCAACGGTTACGATATATGTACTCGTTCATTCAAGATCGCAAAGTGTCTGGCTCGAGGGCAAGTCACAACGAAACAAAAAAAAAGAGTCCAAAGCGAGAAAGTCTCGTGTGTACGCACTGATGATACGAATGATGCCTGTATGTACCACGTGTGTATATACGTATACATACATAAAGAGAAAAGTAAACGTTGCGATCGAACGGGCCCGATTTCATACTCACCAACGCAGGGATTGTGATTCACCGTCGAGAAGATCCTGTCGCAACGCCTCTTCATGTGGTTGTTCGGACATATGCATCCGAACATAGGCGACTGTCGTAGCTGGGTCCAAGAATCCTGACAGGCATTCCTGAAACGTGCAAGGAATAACGATTATTCGAATCGATTGGCCGCGTTGCGTGGTTGATTCCGTTTGAAATTCTACGCGAACCGGTCGAACGCGGGATACTTCTCTGGCGTGCTTTGGAAGTCAATCAGGAATTAGCGGCGAGCGATCCAGTTTTGCAATTATTGAAACGTCCGATAATTTCCCGGGAAAATTGACGAAAATATCAGCACCGATCCCGGCACGGTCCAAGCTGACCCTGTTCAAACTCCGTTTAATCGCGGGATTACTTCCCCTTGGTATTAACAACGACGATCGCCGTTATCGTAACGTTTGCGGACGAAATTCAAGTACAAGTATCGTTAACGCCGCCTATGAAACATACCGAAAAGTGGCGTCATCGTTGCGATCACGGAACAGTACTTTCAGCCGAGAAACGAACTTAATTAAACAATCGCGATCGTGAGACCATTTTAATACGGCCGTTTAATATGGCCAATATATCCGATTTCGACCCAAGTAAAGCGACGCGGTTGTCGCGATTGACCGTCGGCGTCGGCGTCGGCGTCATTTCGAGCCGACTAATTAGCCTCCACTATTTAGCGATACGGAAACGTAGGGTCGGTGTTAAATACCTCTAAAAAGTTGTTTTATGAAAAAACGTGGAAAAAATGGAACGAGGGACGAAGGCACGGGGATGCAAACCGTCCGCGCTCGTAGATCTTGTCGGAAACTAATTACTGTGAGGCTAATTGAATAATCCACTGGAAAATTATCTCCGTAGCGTTGACTATTTAACGTTGCCTCTCCGTGAATAAAGCCACCGTTAAATATCCACCGTGAAATGAGGCGCGTAATCGACGCTGAATAACCGATAGCACGAGCAATAAGACCGGCAGGTTTTACGAAATGACGAGCCGCGGTAAAGTTCCGCCGCGATGATTATAAACATCAAACCGATGCTATCGAAAGCGGATGAAAAAGATTGGTTTTACACAAAAAAAGACACGGCTCTACGTGGAAAAGTAAATACGATGATGAACTCGAGAGTTCTCTCATTGTTTGTCGAGAGTCAATGTCTACCGCAATTGTCTAAGTGACGTGTTTAAAAGTCAATTCAATTTCATAAATTGAAACGTACCTTGTAAATGTTAAAAGCAATAACTTGCGAGTGGAGGAAAGTAAATTCGGTAGCTACGGAGGAGCGCGTGGATCGATGAGCATGGCTGTACAGACGCGTCACTTGAATAATAATCGTATTAAACGATATGACGCGATAAATTCAAAATTTACGATACAAACGTTATAAAAGTTAGAATATAGAAATCTTAGAATTTAGAAGAAAGCTACGTTACACGAAAGAAAAGCAGAGGGTTGCGTCGCGTTTCCTCGGCATGCGTCAATCACCGCCCTTTATTAAACCTAATCTTGATTAAGCGTATACGCCACGGACCGAATTTCGAAGCTGTTTTCCCGAAGACGAGATCTTCGCAACACACACTCGTTCCTCCTGATAGAATCACCTTGGCTCCTGGGTGTGATACAAGGATTTTCGGTCCACCTTGTACTTCAAAGAAGATCGCAAACTAACTGCGCAGCGAGAAAAGGGAGACGGCTGGAAGGAAACCGAAGAAGGGTAGAAATTCAAAGAGGGTGAGACCACGTCTCGGAATTATTTGGGTTAATGGCACACACAGTTCCAACGTGGCTCTCGCTCTCAACGAATTACAGGGTCGAAACGATGGTAAAAGGAAACACGAAACCAAAGGTGAAACGAGAACGGCACCGGCCGACAAGAATCGAAAAAGCGACTGGAAGACCTGGACGAGCAATATTTACGTTACCGCAGTTTCGAGGTATTTCATCGTCAGGACATACTGATACCTGAAAAGTTGCCACCAATTTCTAGTACTGCGATTGACTTCGGGAACGAGACGTTCGGAATTAGTAGTAGCGCAAACTAAGCCATGTGTCTTTCCAGCCACCGTCCAATGAAATTATGGTTTCGTCCAGCGACGAGGACGATTTTCGCCAGCGGCGTGTCACTGACAGGTATCCCGTAATGCAGTCTGTTCAAGGAACAAGCGTCGTGCGGTCTGGCCGCAGATCGGAGCCAGAAACGCCGCGACGCAGGCGTCTCCTGCGAGTTTCGCCACGCCAGCTTTAAGCTGCTGGTCCGAAGGATTTATCGCGCGGACCAATGCGACCGAGATCGTTGCGTTGGCTGGATTTTCGCAAGGAATTCACGGAGAAACTTTGACCGTTCTCTTTCAATTTTTGCGATTCACGGAACCAGAGCGAAATGCGTTGTCGCGGCGCGAGGCAATTATTTCTCGGTTTTCGTCGACGAACGTGCACTCGACGCTCGCCCAGAGTTTCAAATTCGAGGTTAAATTTGCGACTTGTGCATCGCGACTCTCTGCTTACATCGAGAAGATCAAAAGCTCGAAAGAAGATAGAGGTCAAAAGCGAAACGTTCTGTTTTGAGAAGCGGCAGTCGCATGGGGCGCTATAATTTATTTATGGAAATGCTGTCGTACCATGAATATTTATAGCAATTAGATGGAAAGATCCCGAGGCCGTGCTCGAGGAGATGTTGCACTAAAAACAGACGTCAGTCAAATTTCCGACGTCTAATCTCCGAGGGTATCTTCTTCGGCGCAACGCGTACAATTATTTTGTTTTCGATCATCCGGAAACCGCGAGAAAAAAGAAACGATGAGATTTGATTAACCGCGGCCTTTGAAAGCTAAAGTGCTCGTAACGTTTAAGCAGCCGAGAGAGCTGATCAAGCTGGAACTTTTCATTTTTCAATTTCCAAGTACTCCCATATTAAATTTTCAATTAACCGCAAACGCAGGGCGTTTGAAAATTAACGCGAGATTTATTGCGTTCCGACGCGTTTGAACCGCGTTGAATTGGAATCAGTTTTTAGCGCCAACGTGATTTTTCCTTTTCGATTCGTGCCGAATTACAAAGCGTAAAGTTCGCCGGTGTTACTCGAGGAGCCAAAGGTAGCGTGGCGTGGACCAATCGTGAAAAGAAAAAGATTACAGCCGACTCGCGGACGGACATTCGCAGAGATTGAAAGTCGCGCAGCGGCAATGAAATATACGCTCCACTTTCGACCGTCGAGTCTACTGGCGGATTCGACCTATCCTGCCATTGATTTCCGCTATAAGGTTTTTACGTCGAGTCTACGAGGAAGATACCGAGAGAGGGATCGCGAGATACTTGACTGGCACGGATAATCTTGTAACTGGTTATTTTTTTTCCAAGAAAAAAAAAAAAAAAACAGAACCTCTACCCAACGTCTTTATAAATGTCGTTCGAGTAATCCAGCACCGTGAAATTTGATTAAAGATCGTGCAAGCTTGCTCCGTGAGGTTCGTACTATTTATATTGAAACGCGGAGAAAATCCTCGACATCGAGGTCGAGAGCGATCGATTAAACGCGCGATGACCCTAGGAGACGCGTTCGCCAACGAAGAGGCAACGCCGAAGGTATCGGAGAGTATCCCGCGTCGGGCTACTTTCGTTTTCACGGGAATGGTCCGATGCAAGCGTGGCGTGGTTAGCGACGGGACTGAAAAATTGAGCGGCGCTAATGAAAACGTGCGAGGGGCGGGGGGAAAAGTGGCCGAGTAATACAGATTTAAGCTCGTCGACAGCGGAGCGACACAGGCAAGGGAACAGAATAATCCGTAAATCTCATTTTTATCGCGCGGGTCGGGAACGCGTGGAACGCGGCGGGCAAAACGCGAAAGAACAAAGAGAAAACCGAGGACGGGGCTTGGCGCGCGGAGTTGGACGAACGGTGGAGAGGGTTGAGGTAAAGAGAGAGAGTGAGAGAGAGAGGAGGGAAGTAGTTGGAAAGAGAGAGTGTAAAACAACGAGAGCGCTGCACTTCCCTGTACGTACGGTCGGGCGATAATTTACTGGCGTGTAGGTACGTCTGAAGGATCCGGTACGTGCCGGTCGAGTGGTCTTGCACAGTCGGGGGTGCTAAGTACGCGCCTACGTGTGCGCTGACGCACCCTCGCGCACCCTCTGCAGCCTCGTGTACCCTGTGTGCACGCGCCAACCTACGCTCCAACGAGTGCACCGACTTTTCGCGAATCGATCCAACGTCGAGGATCGTTCTCGCTATCGATGATTCGATCGAAACTTTCGACAAACCTTCGACACAGTTAAACGTCGCGGTGAAAAGCAACTTTCCTACCGAGCTGGTTTCTATTTGCATTCGCAGAAACTGCATTTTAATTGCGGCGAAAAAAGAAACCCCGCCAACTCCTGGAAACGTTACCAAATATTTCTTATGCCCGGATGTCGCGATAGTTTGCGTGTTCAACTCTTTCCCGCAGAAACCGGCGCGTGAACATCGACAAAAGTTATGCATAGTCCGCGTCGGGACGGTCTTGAATAATGTATGCGTCTATAGAACGGCCGGGGAATGATTAACGACGCTGACCCTCTTGTAACTTCCGAAAAGTTTCCGCGAGTTTTTTTGGCGCTACTTCGGCGGACACTTCGTTCCTCGTTCGTCGAGTTCGAGGGAGCTTGGAAGACGTTTTATTTATTAGCTCTTGAACCTGTTATAAATTAAGTCGAAACCTGGCTTCCTTTTTTCGTTTCCAACGATATCCAATTTGCTCGCGATACGTAATCCTACGCCGTCCGGTATTTTATCTCAACATCATCGAAGAGGAAGTTCGGTCATTCTTTCGCCGCGTACGACATAAATTTCGCAAGATTCAACGAGCATCCCGTAGCACGAAACTTGATTTATTTTCATTCGTTCGAAGCCCGCGCTATCTACCTAACATCCATCTACAATTTGTCATTGTACACACAGGTCTTCTTCGGAGCCTCTCCTTCCAACGCGAGCGAAGCAAGATTCATAGGCACGCGGCGGGTACACTCGTGTCATCTCGTAGATGCAACGGATGACAGCGCGATATCCTCCAGTCTACGCAAACACCCTGTTACCGAAGACTCGAGCGATAAATAATTAATAAAATGAC